ATTGGTGATGGCCTTTCGCTGTTGGTAAAGGCGGTCTAACATATGTAGGGTTGAATTCCACCTTGTTGCAACGTCGCAGATCAGGCGATGCTGTGGAATTCCGTTCTGCCGCTGCAGCTCAAGGAGGGTGTGCTTTGCGGTGTAGGAATGGCTGAAATGCATGCAAAGTTTACGTGACATTTTAAGGATGTCTTGCAGTGGGATGGTGGATTTTAGGAACCGCTTGACAACCAGATTGAACACGTGAGCCATGCATGGCGCATGGCACAACCTTCCTTGACGCAGAGCAGACACCATGTTCTTTCCGTTGTCGGTCAACATGGTTCCGATTTTCAGTTTGCGCGGAGACAGCCATCTGTCGATTTCTCTGTTCAACATACACTCAGAAGTTCCTCCCCTGTGTGACTACGTTCGCCAAGGCATACCAGGTGCAGCACAGCGTGACACCGTTGCGCCCATGCACATGTGATATGCCGGTCGGGTAATGGGACTTGGCACGGGGGTGGCGGCTGAGGACACGGCGGAAGAAGAGGTGGTAGAGGCGGACATCTTTGCTGGACCAAGGACGTGCAAACGTGGAGGCAAAAGCGGCGTGACCTGTCCAAGTTGCTGGTGCGGCTGTGCCGGCACCACGTTCACCCAGTGGGCCGTAAATGACATGTACTGTCCCTGACCGTAGTTACAGCTCCACACGTCGGCGCTGCCGTGCACTTTTGGCAGAGACCGACATGCTCAAAGACTGGCCCACCATCTCTTCTACATGTGAATGCAGGGCTGGCACTGCCTTTTTGGCGAAGAAATGCGGCTTGGCACTCTCCACCGCGGCTCGGCACAAGCCATCATTTCTCGGAAAGGTGCTGAGTCCACCACTTGGAAAGGGAGGGACTGCAGCACCAGCAACTTGGACAGGAGGACGTTCAGCTTCTGCACCGTCGGGTGCGTGCTCGCAAACTGTTTGTCTCTTGGAAACGGATTCCAAGAAAGACTGCTGACGGAATCCGTGAAGAGGAGTAGCAGGAGAAGGAGCATCTGAACGAGCGGAAGATGCCCAACAAGCGACAACTCCCCTCAGCAGAGGTGTTGGAGCCTTGACTGGCTGATAGAGGGCGATTGACGTCGGGTGACGGAGCAAGTAACGGAGCGGTGATGGAGGAGGGGGCTGGGGCAGGCAGAACCGCCGTATCTTTATCACGGTTTTTCCCAGGCCACCGAATGGCGACGCTGCATATGCTGACGCAACGCTGTAGTCCCAACATGGGCCCCCTGGCCACGCTTGACTTTCTGGCCACATAGTCGACATACGGCTACGTTTACTTCCTCGGGCGGCTTGACAAAAAATTGCCACACCGCCGAGTAGGAACTTTGCCCCCCACTACTCCTCACTGGCTGACTGCTACTTCCTCCGTGCACACCGGCACCACTACGGCCGTGGTGGTAGGCTGCAGTGGAGCTGGTGCTGTACTCCGTGGCCGTTTGCCTCCACTGACACTGCTGCGACCCTGCTGCGTCCTGGGCAACCCACCGACTGTTTTGCTCGCTGCCAAGCTGGCACCTGCTTCTCCTGATGATGCGGAAGCAATAGCCTGATGACCACGAGGCTGCCAAGTGCGATTAGCCTCATCATCATCAATTAGGGTCTCCGCCTCACTACTAGCCCCCTCGGCTGCGTGTGGGTCAGGAGACAGACCTGTCTCTAGACAGGCTACCGAGCCACTCTCCTCGCCAGTACTTCTTCGCCTGGCTGCTGAAGAGGCGGATGTCTCCCCCCCGTTCCTGACCGCCCTCTGTTAGCTCTTCCCTCACTGTACAGTGGGGGCTGAGCCCACAGCATGCGATACTTCACTTGGTGAGGGAACACCAAAGGACAGGGGCAGGTAGAGGACACGTGATTTCAGTGGGCTTGCTCCCGGGCCATGCCAACTAACGGTTGTGTCTGACGTACCCACCGACCGTTGGCTGTAGGTGTCAGAGGTGACCTGGGAAGAGAGGAAGACGACCGAGCCAACCAATCGATGACGGCAGGGTTGTCGGTGGAGACACGACCGCTGGATGACACCGGGAGCACTGGCCTCTGGCTGCGACTACTGCTGCCTCGGAACCCCCTTCCTCTGCTGCCACGTCTGCTCGCTCCTGAAACATTGCCTCCTCTGCCACTCCTCTGCGTGTTGTCTGACATACTCTTTAATTCAACGATTCTGTGTCCCTGAGTAACGATTCTGTGTCCCTGAGTAACAATTCTGTGTCCCTCAGTAACGATTCTGTGTCCCTCAGTAACATTCTGTGTCCCTCAGTAACAATTCTGTGTCCCTGAGTAACAATTCTGTGTCCCTGAGTAACGATTCTGTGTCCCTGAGTAACGATTCTGTGTCCCTCAGTAACAATTCTGTGTCCCTGAGTAACAATTCTGTGTCCCCTCAGTAACCCCTGAGTAACAATTCTGTGTCCCTGAGTAACGAATTCTGTGTCCCTGAGTAACGATTCTGTGTCCCTCAGTAACAATTCTGTGTCCCTGAGTAACAATTCTGTGTCCCTGAGTAACAATTCTGTGTCCCTCAGTAACGATTCTGTGTCCCTGAGTAACAATTCTGTGTCCCTGAGTAACAATTCTGTGTCCCTGAGTAACAATTTCTGTGTCTGTCCCTGAGTACAATTCTGTGTCCCTGAGTAACAATTCTGTTGTCCCTGAGTAACAATTCTGTGTCCCTCAGTAACAATTCTGTGTCCCTGAGTAAACAGTAGTAACATTCTGTGTGTCCCTGAGTAACAATTCTGTGTCCCTGAGTAACAATTCTGTGTTCCCTGAGTAACAATTCTGTGTCCCTGAGTAACAATTCTGTGTCCCTGAGTAACAATTCTGTGTCCCTCAGTAACGATTCTGTGTCCCTGTGTCCCTGAGTAACAATTCTGTGTCCCTGAGTAACAATTCTGTGTCCCTGAGTAACAATTCTGTGTCCCTCGAGTAACAATTCTGTGTCCCTCAGTAATGATGTCCCTGAGTAACAATTCTGTGTCCCTGAGTAACAATTCTGTGTCCCTGAGTAACGATTCTGTGTCCCTCAGTAACAATTCTGTGTCCCTGAGTAACAATTCTGTGTCCCTGAGTAACAATTCTGTGTCCCTGAGTAACAATTCTGTGTCCCTGAGTAACAATTCTGTGTCCCTGAGTAACAATTCTGTGTCCCTGAGTAACGATTCTGTGTCCCTCAGTAACGATTCTGTGTCCCTCAGTAACAATTCTGTGTCCCTGAGTAACAATTCTGTGTCCCTGAGTAACAATTCTGTGTCTGTCCCTGAGTAACAATTCTGTGTCCCTGAGTAACAATTCTGTGTCCCTGAGTAACGATTCTGTGTCCCTCAGTAACAATTCTGTGTCCCTGAGTAACAATTCTGTGTCCCTGAGTAAACAATTCTGTGTCCCTGAGTAACAATTCTGTGTCCCTGAGTAACAATTCTGTGTCCCTGAGTAACAATTCTGTGTCCCTGAGTAACGATTCTGTGTCCCTCAGTAACAATTCTGTGTCCCTGAGTAACAATTCTGTGTCCCTGAGTAACAATTCTGTGTCCCTGAGTAACGATTCTGTGTCCCAGTAACAATTCTGTGTCCCTGAGTAACAATTCTGTGTCCCTGAGTAACAATTCTGTGTCCCTGAGTAACGATTCTGTGTCCCTCAGTAACAATTCTGTGTCCCTGAGTAACAATTCTGTGTCCCTGTCCCCTGAGTAACAATTCTGTGTCCCTGAGTAACGAATTCTGTGTCCCTGAGTAACAATTCTGTGTCCCTGAGTAACAAATCTGTGTCTGTCCCTGAGTAACAATTCTGTGTCCCTGAGTAACAATTCTGTGTCCCTGAGTAACAATTCTGTGTCCCTGAGTAACGATTCTGTGTCCCTCAGTAACAATTCTCTGTGTCCCTGAGTAACAATTCTGTGTCCCTGAGTAACGATTCTGTGTCCCTGAGTAACAATTCTGTGTCCCTGAGTAACGATTCTGTGTCCCTCAGTAACAATTCTGTGTCCCTGAGTAACAATTCTGTGTCTGTCCCCCTGAGTAACGATTCTGTGTCCCTGAGTAACAATTCTGTGTCCCTGAGTAACAATTCTGTGTCCCCTAAGTAACGATTCTGTGTCCCTAAGTAACGATTCTGTGGCCCTAAAGTCTCTGTGGCCCTAACTCTGTCCCTAATACAGACAGGTCTGTCTCTCTTGAATGACCGGAGGCTAATGGAGAATTCTAAGATGGCCGCAATTTATAGCTCCACCATTACACAGTGCTGGCTGGCTGGCTGGCTGCTGATTGGCTAATGCGATCACATGTATGAATGAATGCATTATGGGTCAGCGCGCCTTGTCTGCGCGCCTTCCCAGAGATCCCCGCTCCGTCGCCACACATGTCGCCGCCATTTTTGGGAAAATTCGATTCGTGTATCCGAAGTTTGCTAATTTTCGGATTTGGCGCGAATCGAATTTTTTCTGATCTTCTAAACGAATTCCACTTCGCCATGTTCGATTCGCTCATCTCTAGTGGCGATGCCTGTACAATCCACCTGTCCACAGTAAATTTACTGCGTACAGTCGGAAAGTGGTAAATGCAAGCCTTTTTCCTTCTACTTTAAATGTGGTACAATGAAGTACAGTGTTGAATTCTTTGTAACAGTTCAGATATAGTAAATCCACTGGCATTTCTCTTCCTCCTTCCTCATAGAATGTTGACAGATTGGGCTGACAAAAACGGTCCTTAAAAAATCCATATTGGTTGTTACTTAGGATACCGTTATCGCTAACAAACTCTTGAATATAGTTGTACCTTACCAGTCCCTTAAATATTTTACATACTACTGATGTTAAGCTGACTGCTCTGTATTTTCCAGGCATGCATTTCAACCTTTTTTTGAATAACGCTGCCACATTCACTTTATGCCAGGGGTTATGAGTTTAGAATTCAAGGAAGTTCGGTCACTAAAATTTTCTTATGGAAGAGGTCCGAATAGGGTGAGCCCATCAGTGTGCCCCCTTACATTAGGTGTTGCCATCAGAGTGCAACTTTACATCTTGTATTCTCATCACATCAGGTGTGCCCATCAGTTGTCCCCATCAGAGTGCACCTTTAAATCAGGTATCCCCATCACATTGCCACCTTACATCAGGTATTCCTGTCAGAGTGCCCCCTTACACTCAAAGTATCGCTTTCTATCATATTTCCCCATCAGAGTGCCCCTTTCCATCACATGTGCCCATCAGAGTGCCCCTTTCCATCACATGTGCCCATCAGAGTGCCCCTTTCCATCACATGTGCCCATCAGAGTGCCCCTTTCCATCACATGTGCCCATCAGAGTGCCCATTTCCATCACATATGCCCATCAGAGTGCCCCTTTCCATCACATATGCCCATCAGAGTGCCCCTTTCCATCACATGTGCCCATCAGAGTGCCCCTTTCCATCACATGTGCCCATCAGAGTGCCCCTTTCCATCACATGTGCCCATCAGAGTGCCCCTTTCCACAGTATGTGCCCATTTGTGCCTCCTTAATATAAAATATGCCTGTCAGAGAGCCCCTTAACATAAAATAAGGGGCATGCTGATGGGCACATGTTATGTTAAGGGTAACTCTAATGTAGTACATACTACATAAATATATTTATGTTGTATGTTGTGCCCATCAGAGTGCCCCTTATCATTCAATGTGCCCATCAGAGTGCCCCTGTAAGACTACACCCTACCTTGAGGGAAGACAGGAGCTGTGCCGGGATCCTTGCTAGACACTTGTGTACAGTCAGGGAGCGGGAGCTGGAGAGACAGTGAGCTGAAAGGGGCACACGTGATGTCATATTGTTGTGACGACCGCCCTGCTCAGTGGAGGATCTGTTATTGAGGGCTGGCGGTCCGGGCAGCAGCCCTGCTGGGGCCATTCGCGGACCATGGTCCACCACTTAGTGACCGCTGCTTTATGCTAATCATCCAGTCAGTAAGGGGTCCTTAAAAATTAGAAACAATGGAGTAGCTAAAACAGAGCTAAGCTCTCTGAGGACTCATGGGTGTAAGTCACCTGGTCCTGGTGATTTATTCACATTTGTTCTGAACCTGGATTTCTGTCAGCCACAGAGGTACATTTATTTTTATAGCATTACTGTACTGACTATCACACCTGTCTTTTTCGTTCATATAAACTATAGAGAATATTTTATTCAATACATCTGCCTTTGCCTTGCTCATTGTAACCAGTTCCCCATGTTTATCTTTCCTGATGTTTACATATTCTGTCTTTTTATTATTGATATATTTGAGAATTTTTTTTTTTTTTTTACTTACTGAAACAACATGGTTTTCATTTCAGCTGCTGCTCTTTCCGCTCTGCATCTCTTTTTGCATTTTTGTATTTGAATGGTTTTTATTAATTTATAACATTTCAACAAGACTTCAGGAACAAAACACGCCCACGCAGGGGCTATCAATGGCACATAAAAAGTAAAGAAAACTGTGCTCTAACACTAACAGAGCAAAAGGTGCCCCCACAAAGGGTTTTTTTTTTGCATTTTTAACTCCTTTGTTGAAAATAGTCAGGGATACATATGGCTGCTTGCAATATCCCTTAATGGAATTACTGACATGACAGCCTGGTACCGTGTTTCCCCGAAAAAATAAGACACTGTCTTATATTTATTTTGGCTCAAAAAAACACACTAGGTCTTATTTTCGGGGTAGGTCTTATTTTTTTAATGTACAGGTGTGGACAGGGGGTGCAGAGGTGAGCTGCAGGCAGTTGTGGATGTGGGTTACTATGGAGAGGGGCAGCTGATGACAGTTGTGAGCTGCAGTCAGGTGTTGCAGAGGTGAACTGACAGGTAAGTTGCAGACAGGGGATGCAGAAGTGAGCTGTGGCTGGGGGGTGCAGAGCTAAACTGAGGCTGGGGGGTGCAGAGGTGGGTTGCCATTCAGCTGACCTCTGCTCCCCCCCAGCCGCAGCTCACCTATGCACCCTGTCTGCAACTCACCTGTCAATTTACCTCTGCAACACCTGACTGCAGCTCACCTTTGCACATCCCCCCTCCCCCTCCACTGACCTCATATGGTTAGCTACCTTTGCAAAACACAACTGTCAGCAGTGGCCCCTCTCTATTGTAACTCCCATTTTTGGTCCTATCTTCTCACACAGTGCACCAAGCGCACTTACTCACCGCTCCCCCTCTTCCTCACTGGCCAGTGATCACCCTTGGGGCATTGGCTTCCATGCATTAGGCTGCAGGATGAGATGCCCATCCTCACCCCACCCCGCCCCACCCCTAAACACACTGCACTCTCATATATCTGTTCTTTCCCTGTCCCACAGTGAGTACAGAGGTAGGGGAGTTCTGTGGGTGCGAATGGTGCTGTTACTTACAAGAGGGATTATCACTTGCAAACACAAAAGCTGCGCTTCTGTTTTTATAGGAGACCGTAGATATTAGTGTACACAGGGCCAGTGCCAGAGGTGGTAGGACAGCTGATCACAACTAGGTCTTATTTTCAGGGTCAGTCTTATACTTCAGCAATTCCCAAAAATAGTACTAGGTCTTATTTTCAGGGAAACAGGGTAGTTGTCGGACACAAAGAGGAAAATGTAATAAACATTGGAGAAACCAGAATCTGGAGCAGCTGTGCATGGCAACCAATTAGCTTCTGTCTTTCATTTTTAAAGCTTAACTGAACAAGCTGAAGACAGTAGGTGATAGGTTGCCATTTTCAGAACTGATCCAGATAGATTCTGTCTGCTCCAGTTTTTATATACCGCCCCCCTAGCAATGTGTAAGGGAATTCCCGTGAGACGGCTGGTGACTAGAAGTGCGCATGTGCACAGAAATGCACGATCACGCACACGCACGGTGAAGATTGCCGCCAGATGGACTATTTAAAAGGTGCCTCTGTCTGTGCTAAGCGCTCTCTGGTCTTCAGTTGTTCCCTGTTTCCTGCTCGTTCCGGTGTGATTTCCTTGTTGCTGACCTGGCTTGTTCCTGACCTGACTCTGATTACTCTCCTGCTTGATACTTGTTCCTGACTTCGGCTCTGTTCCTGACTTTGGCTTGCTTATGATTTGGTACCTCGCTGTCCGCCCGTTGATGACCCTGGCTATTCCTTTGACACTGCTCCTGTCTCCCATCCCTGCTTCCTGCCTTGCTCTGGTGCACACCTGGCGACCTACCATACCAGCTCTGCATATTACTACTGTGTCTGAGTCGGAGGTTCATCAGTCTTCCAAAGTCTCCAACTGCAAGAGCTGCAAACATCATCTGCTGGCGCTCTTGTCCCACTGGTCCCTAGACACCCTCTGTTCCACTTCCAGTGGGGTCAGGGCTAGTGACACAAGTAAGGCCAACCTCGGCATTTTAGTCTCCAATCAGGTACGTGACACAATGTCTCTCCATTATAACTATGTGGCTGATTTACTAAACGAGTTAAATCTTTGACAGTAGTTGTGTCCACTTTGAGTGTCCAATCATGTAAACATAACTTAATAAGGAATATGCTTTTTACATAATTGAACAACTGTATAAAAGTTAAATCTTCACTCTATTTTCATTGAACAATCCTAATTTTGGACCAACAAAGGGGTTGGGCTTTGTAAATTTGCCAGGAAAAGTGCTGGTGTAGGCATACTGGAGAGGGGATTTTAAAGGGACAATGTGAGACTAGTGAATTTGCTGAATGATATGTGGGAAACTCCGGAAAATGTACATATGTATTTTGTATTACTGAGCCTTTAAGGGTCCTCATAGTAGGGGTATGACATACAGGCTTGCAAAACACTCCAATCTGCCATGAATTTTCTGTAGACAGGGCCTCAGTCTCCCTTTAATCCCTGCGCATTCCTTGAATCAGCAGAGGAAGCTACAGCATGTGGGGTGGCATTCTTCAACTCTTATGAATCAAGTCCAATGTTTTTCTTTATCTTCTAATTCATGCTCTTTCCCTTGCCTTACTTAGAGAATATCATATTTCCTTGACGTTTCAGTCCTCCAGCACTGTCAGCATTGTGCACACCAGTGTTTCATCAGTCAACTGAGTTTATTAGAGATAAATACATACAGTCCATCCGAAACATTTATTTCAGTCTGACATGTTATGCAGAAACCTAATGGGGCTTCCTTGATGCCCTTAAAATGAATCATATGTAGTACTGATGTGAGAAAAAGCAAAACGATATTTTGACTCTGGGAAAAAAAATTATGGAATCAAATATTAAAAAAATAATGGAATCAAATATTAAACAAAAGTTCACAGCATTCTTTCCTGTACGGTTGTTACAGGGGCCAAGTCAGACTATAGCATGGCTATAGGGCACCTGAGGGGTCTATATTTACCTGACTCCCTTCCCTGCTCATAGTAACCAACAGAGTTAGGCAAACACAGACCATGTCAATGGCATCCGACTGTTCTCTTTCTTTCCCAATCTCTTTCTGTCCCCAATTAAATTTCTTAGGGATCTGTCCCTTGGTCACTTTTCTGACCCTAATCCCTCATCAGAGGCAACATATGCTCCTCAAGAACATCACCTTCAGACAACCTCTAACTTACTAGAGGCTTTCTCTGCCCTCCAGGTCTCCAGTTCTTTTCTGATTGGGATGGAGAATGTAGACCATATGGAGGGAAGCACATTCCGTGTTATCAGTATTTGAATTTATTAGCCAATAGTAGTGATGGTCTCTTCTATACAACCCATGAAGCCTCTGGTTAATTTTCATTTTTTCCAAGGCTTGACACTTTTAAGTCACTACCTCTTCAGACATGCACCCACTGCAGGAGAAAACAGCCTGAAGACCATTGGAGGCATCTTTTGCAGTACTCCTCTAGGCCCTCTCAATTTATCGCAGCATAGTAAAGCTACAAATAGATAGATATTTCTAAGAAATGATAGATAAGAAGACATCTGGGCCCTCTTGATTATGCTGAAGCTGCTAATTATCTTGCCATTCACTCAATGAAGGAGAGACAGCACATGAGTGCTAACAACTTCCTTTCCTGTTTTCAATGGGAAGAGTGAAAGATTGCATGGGTCCTACAGAGACTTTCCAACTACTTGGAAAAAAATTGTCAGAGAAAGCTAGCAACACAAAAGTACGGTAGCTTCCTAAGTGAAGGTCTGGCTAAGAATTTCAGTAGTCAGTCAAATCAGTAAAGGATCAGCCTACTTACAGCTAGCCTACAAGTTGACAAGGTCCCACAAGCTACCACTGCTTATATCGTTTTTGTTTTAATTGGCTCATTAAACATTGCGCCACACACCTGCTTTCCTGAATAGCAGCCCGTATATACATATGCTCAAGTCAAACAGGGACTTTTAATTTTACAGGTTTTAAAAGTGATGCTAGCACAGTTCCTGTGAACATTCAGTGCGTGGCATGCC